GTTGGAAAGTCTCCCCCCGCCTCAGACCTGAACTGTTTACTGCTCCCCACCTCCAGAGGATCTGCAGATTTAATTAAATATTTATTATTCAAAAGCTTCGAGGGGTAGAAACGGAGCTTTTCTACATCAGGTTAAAGCAGATTTAAGAAAACACACAGAGATTTGGTCTAATTTCTGTATGTTTACCAGGTTTAAACTCAGTAAATGAGCATTTGTCGCCCTCTAGTGGCCGTCAGGTAATTACATCCACAGACTTCCAGCTGAAATCCTCCCAATAAAACTTTGATATTTTCCTGTATTTCCAAAACCTGCATAGAGATTATCGACTAGTCAAATTTAAGGCACAAAGCAAAAATAAATCTGATGTCTTTGTGCCTTAGATTTTTCATGTAACTTGATCTATTGTCTGTTTTTTGCCCTTTCCACTCGGATTTCTGGACTCATTTGAATCCTGATGGATTTCAGTTTTTGGTGGTTTGTCTCAGAGCTGTAAGGTTGCTGGTTTGAATCCCTGGGTGCTTTAGCCCTGTAAGAACACGGATGAATAAACTGATTAAAAGACAGGGAGGGCAAAGGGAAGCAGCTTCAGGAGGTTTTCGGCCTTTTGTAAACGACGTTTGATGCAACCCAAAAGAACCGAGAGTCTGCAGCATCACCTGGGTTGCCAGATCTGAGAAAAGCAAGCAACCACCTGCATGCAAAAGAGGCGGCCCGCCTCATGTTTGTTATTAAACATGAGCAACAGGACACTCAGTGAGACCCAGATGAGAAAAAAAGGCTGAAAATGTCAAAAGAAAAACACTGAAAGCTGCAGAAACAACTGTTAAAGGTCAAAAGAAGAAGTGACGGCTGATCAGGGCTGTTTTTAGAGAAAGAAACATGTTTTACCGTCTATACTAAGCTTAAATTATTGACTTTATTTCCTCTGATATTGTCTTCATCTATAAAAACATCATATTTACATCTAATTAATCTGCTCTGGGCCTTAGAATGAGCTTTAAGCACACACATTCACATTAAATTACCACATTTAATATTCATTTTAGGCATGAAAACATCCAAATTCGAATTAAGCTGAAAGTAAAAGATGGATAGATAGATAGATAGATAGATAGATAGATTGATAGATAGATACTTTATTGATCCCCAAGGGGAAATTCAATATGAAATCTACACACAGACAAATTTATTTACACATATAAAAGGTTATAAAACATGTTTTTTTTAAATTAGGTGTGTAACTAATGTTTAAAATCAACAAAAGCCACATTGTAATCTTTATCTATCTGTATTAAGGTAAGTTTAAATGTAAATATGGTGCAATTAAAGCAACACAAACAGTAAAAGTAACAGTAAAATAACACAAAAACAATCTAAATTGTTCTTTTTCACGTTCACCCGGAGTTCCGGATACTTCCTAAACTGTGAGAACACCTGCTCAGGTGTGTGTGTGATGCACCTGATTGGCCCATTCACTTCAAAGGCCAAAACAGGAGGAGGAGGTGGTAAAAAACAGTAAAATAACACAAAAAAAAC